GGAGAAATAATTGTATTCACTGGTTATAAAATAGGTTAAGACAAACTCACATAATAAATACCATCGGTCCCTTGGTGATCGTCCTAAAGAGGTTCGACTGGATATCATTCATACTCACCAAAAGTGTAAGATTTTATTATCATGAAGTGCCTTGTTTATCTCTCAGTATCAGTACCTCCAACCATAGCCTTGACCCTTTTATCCTCAGGATCAGTGTAATTGTTGGAACGAGGTGTCGGACTCAGCAATGTATTTGTTTACATTTTAATACATGTTTATTGTTCCTCCTTTGCTGTGTTGTTTTAGAAAATCATTGGACTAACAGTTTGAAGTCATTGAACTACTTCCAAAAGTTGTATCGACATCAACAGGATTACGATTTCAGTGCAATATGATGCTGGATGACCTTATCACGATAACCCATGATTATAAACCATTATAAACACAGAATCAACAAAAACATCTGCGACAGAAACCTGGCGCATGGCTACAATTCTCAAATAAATCTGATCGAGGGTGTGGAAATCTGAAATATCTGAAAGGCAAGACAAATTTATGACAGAGTCATGAAATTCTGCAACAGCAACATGCACAGAATGACCTCCGTATACAAAAAGTATCACCACCACTACTCGCATGTTTCCCCGCAGAAGAACATGCATTATGCTAGTGCCATTTTGTGCAAGAAATGGCTTGCACATCAATGCGTATAATACCGGCGGTATTGAAATGATCAAGAGTACATAAACCTCTTGATATGATGTGAAGGCCATCATTTACATATTGATATAGGGCATTCCATTGATTGGTGACAGAAAAAAACAAAAGAAATTATAGCAATAAAAACTGCTTTATGGCAGTTTTCTAAAAAAAGTTATTGTGTTCTAGTCCATGGACCCCGTGTAAAAAGTAAGAAATTAACGAAATGTGATAGCTGAAAATTAAAATTTCACACAAAACCTCACAATAATCACACACAGAATTAAAAGCTACATGTAGAAGACCTTTTCCCCTCCTGATCCTCTTTCCTATGTATGCATGTTGCCAATTGTTGGTGCAGTACAAGTTAAAGTTGAAAGCAGCATTTCAAGTGTTGTGATTATTGTGAGGTTTTGTGTGAAATTTTAATTTTCAGCTATCACATTTCGTTAATTTCTTACTTTTTACACGGGGTCCATGGACTAGAACACAATAACTTTTTTTAGAAAACTGCCATAAAGCAGTTTTTATTGCTATAATTGCTAGTTTGGTGTCGGCGTGCACGAATACATGGGCTTTTTCCATCGACGCTTCCTGTGCTTGCACACATGGAGCAGCAACTAATACTTACCGGTACAGGTGAAATATCGTTCCCAATACACGAGGAAAGTGCAATCTCGTCTGTCCTTCATCCCAAAACAGAAGGCCGTCCTTAATCTGGAACGAGGCAATCACTCTCAACCGGACGGTCACTTCAAAATAAGTCTCGCCAGTCTGCCGGTGCACCGGTGGTCGTATCGAGTAGACTCTACTACCAGCACAAGGCAGCAGTCGTACCACTCACTGCACTGCACTGCAGTACAACTACAACAGTACAAGTCAAGTCCAAAAGGAGCCGCCTAGGCCTAGCGCCTGCGTCCGCAGACTCACGCTGCACAACACGTAGACGTGGACGTACGTGTTCAGTCCACGTAGATCTACGTCAGTCACACGACAGCCCGCCGAAAAAAAGTTACGGTCGGGCTGAAAAATGTACGGTCGGTCGGGTGAAGCGGGATTCACAGAAGCTTTTTTGCGATGCGACACGCGATGCGACAGGCGCGAAACCGGGAAAACCCCAAATCGCAGCCATGTCGCACCCCACGCAACTGACGCAACTGGGCCATCGCATGCCATCGCAGAAGTTGAGCTTGGCTCAACTTTTGCGATGCGATGCGATGCGACAAGCGATTTGGTGTACGATTTTGACCTTTTCTACAGCAAAGTTGTACAAAGGTGCAAGAGTTGCCTATAAATTTTTACAAGTTGTGTCAAACCGCGCGAATATCATGGTGACGTACCCAAATCAGCAAAACTTTGTCGCATCGCTGACTTCTTCTGTGAATGGTATTTCGCGAGTTCGCATCGCACGCATCCATCGCAGATCGCGTCGCATCGCGTGTCGCATCGCAGAAAAGCTTCTGTGAATCCCGCTTGAGTCGAACCACAGACCTTCTTCAGTGTGGCCTTATTATTATTATTATTATTATTTTCCCGTTTGTCTCTTTCCCTCAAAACCAGTTAATATTTTATGACTTGGGGCTCCCCGCGTGCTAGTTTGTACGTGAAGTGTGTGGGGACAGTGAGGGCTGCGTCCCACCCGCCTGTGTGGATTCACAGGAAGTGTGAGTTACGAAGTCTGAAGAAAACGTTGAACGGTCTCTGCTTGGATGACGACTACACCATAGCTCAGTGGTTAGAGCATCGTTGGCTACAAGCGAGGGTCCCTGGTTCGAGTCCTGGTGGTGACAGTCAATTTTTTCTTCAGACTTTTCCCGTTTGTCTCTTTCCCTCAAAACCAGTTAATATTATTATTATTATTATTATTAAACTCGGATGTTGAGCCATAAATAAATGTAGAAGAGAAAAGGACATATGAATACGAGTTAAGAGTAACTCTCCATCACTGTAACATGATACTTTATACAGTCAGAAAGTGCAATAACTAGGCACAAAACTGACAGAGTACTGAAACATTCGACGTCCTGACACCTAGCTTCAACACATCTCCGTAGCGCTAACCGACAGCCTTCCAACTTGGAAGGTTCAAGGTTATGGAAAGACCAAAGAGGGGAAGGCAAGCGCAACGAAAACGAGCAAAAGCTACAGTCCCAACGGAACAAAGAATGTCGATTGTTACTGGACGATGACGAGACCAGTACGATATTTGACAAAGCGGTCTAACTACAATTCGAAGCAGCAAAGCAGCACACCACCCAACTTGGGTGGGTCATAAATATCAAAGATAAGTAAAGAAAGGGAAAAAAAGGGAAAAAAAAGGGAATATCGTACTGGTCTCGTCATCGTCCAGTAACAATCGACATTCTTTGTTCCGTTGGGACTGTAGCTTTTGCTCGTTTTCGTTGCGCTTGCCTTCCCCTCTTTGGTCTTTCCATAACCTTGAACCTTCCAAGTTGGAAGGCTGTCGGTTAGCGCTACGGAGATGTGTTGAAGCTAGGTGTCAGGACGTCGAATGTTTCAGTACTCTGTCAGTTTTGTGCCTAGTTATTGCACTTTCTGACTGTATAAAGTATCATGTTACAGTGATGGAGAGTTACTCTTAACTCGTATTCATATGTCCTTTTCTCTTCTACATTATTATTATTATTATTATTTATTCATATTTTACCATCGGAACCGATATCCAATTGTCTTTCATCTGAGCCCTACTTGAAAAATCGATGCACTTCCCCTTTAATGTTCGTTTGTGTAGTGTAGCAACGTTGTTGCCACTTGTGCTAAAATGTGCTTCGTAGTAGTAGTAGTAGTAGTAGTAGAATTTATTATTTTGATAGGGAAGGCCCTACAGACGTTGCCGTCTTGTTACAGGGAACCCTTCGTCACCTTCCTGTTTATTATTTTATATTATTATCATTCGTTCTCACTTTTTTTGTTGCTGGTACACACTTGTCACGCTTACTTAAACTTGTATACCCTTGTTTTCTGCACATTATTATTATTTAAAAAAATTGAATAGGGCAGTCCCACAGGCGCTAGGCGCTAGGCCTAGGGCCTTTTACAGGGTAGATCTAGCCTATGAATTGTTGAATAGATGAACGGAAGTTTCTGAGCAAGGAGATTGTGCGAATATCAGCAGGAAGCGCGTTCCAACGATCAGAACCAAGAAAGCTAAGCGAGTATAAACCATAGCGGCGAGAAACTAAAGGAAGACTAAGACGTTAGTGACAAAGTGGACTGAGAGCGTGTATGGGCTGAGGTTTGTGAAGTGGCAGCGCGAGGGAGGAAGCAGGTCGATAGCAGTGGATTGCACCACTTATGGAGGGCTCGAAACACCAGTACAAACAGGCGAAATTGATATCTAAGGGAGACAGCAGCGAGATAGTTCCTAGCTAGTACAAGAGAAGCATCGTAGTACTTCGGGTAGCCAAAGACAATCCGAACAGCACGGTTAGAGATACGAGTAATGCGGTCCATTTGCGAGACTTGGAGACAGCGCAAATGCATTTGAGCCGTATTCAAGTTGGGCCTGAATGAAGGAACAGTAGAAGACTCGTGTGGCAGCAGTTGTTAGATTGTGTTTGATTTTCCTGAACACAGCAAGTTTAGTGCCTATCTTGCGTTCCAGGATCTCGGTACGTAAGATGCTCTTCGAACATGAATTCGAGGTATTTGATCGTGGCTGAAGGCGGTATGCTAGTGCTGTCAATTGACAATTGGAGACTAGCTGGGACCGCCTTAGACTTTGGGCGGAATATGATCAACAGCAAACTGACGGACCTTGGTATCAGCAACACACTCCGGCAGTTTGCGGACAGCAAGATTGAACAAGACGGGTCCAAGGATAGATCCTTAGGTACACCTCTGGAGGCAAAATAACAGGCACCTCTGCTTGACTTGGTGACAACTCTCTGCTGCCGGTCAGTAAGGTATGATGCGAACCAACGCAGTGAAACATCAGGTGTGCAAGACTAAGCCAAGATTGAACTCAGATAGAGAGCCAAGGATAAATTAATTTATCGGAAAGAAAGGAACTACAAGTTACGCTATAATAACACCACCACTACATATACATGCCAGTCGGACTGGCTCATGCGATAAAATAATTGCACCCTGACCAACGCCGTTACGGTATATACCGGTAACAGGCGACAGTACTGCACCGATGTTCTACAACTGTCAATGGGGACCATTACGGCATTAGCATGCCGTGAAACGTAAACGCGCAAGGTTGACAGGCCCGTCTTCCCCCCAGATGAAACAGATGAAACAAGATGACACGAGATGAAACGAGATGAAACAAGATGAAACAAGATGAAACGCCAATGTACGGGCGCAGATGGGGCCGAGATGAAACGAAATGAAACAAAATGAAACAAGATGAAACAAGATGAAACAAGATGAAACCAAAATGAAACTCGAAGTACGGGCGTAGATGGGCCGCGAATGAAACAAGATGAAACAAGATGAAACAAGATGAAACAATGTACGGGCGGAGATGGGCCGCGCCCAGTGCACCCGGCGTGACGTGCACGAGCGAAAAGAACTGAATTAATCCAATCATTGAAATAATTTTGTTTGCAGAGGCAATTCGCGCAAGGGAGGTATGGCTTGCGAGTGACAGCACGAGCCGAATTTATTGCCCGTGGAAGTACCCACGATAGGAATACACTGTTGGGAACATGGTGGCGCCGCTGACGGTACCTATGTAAGTGGAATTACTTTATTGGAAGTACCCACGACGGGGAAAATAGTCTCTCTAGTATTGTCGGTGAATGGTGATGGTGGTGGTGGCGATGGCTACTTTCCTCTGCTCAGAGAGAACCCCTGCATGTCCTTCGTCGTGATGCGAAAGAGCAGTGGATGCAGGTAAAGGCCGTGTCAGAGAATTTCGCCTAGTGCTGTGGCCAGGGTGAAAATAAATTAGGGCTGAAACGATCATTCAATAACTCCAAGCGATCAACCAATCTCTTTAGCGATGAATATCATTGTAACATAGAAAAATGTGGGCACAAGTTATGCAATCGAGTCCACCAACTAAACCAGATTTCGAATAGTCAGACGTGCACAATCTAGCACAAAACTGACAAGGAGTATGAGTACTGAGACATTGAGATCAATTATAATTGTTGGTTCATAATTATAGATTCTTTCCGGCTGTAGTCGTGCACCTCGAACACAAGACTATGAAGAAATTCCATGATGCCTTTGCTACATTAGCTGTGGCCACCAGTCAAACACTCTAAATATACCCAGGCTACCGCTCAGTGTAGTGTATTCTGTAAACATTTCAGGCAATTGTGTCGACACCTGTAGACATCTGACTGGTCTAAAGCCTAGTTCACATTCGACGTAACACTGACGGTACAGGACGTAAGGGCCTGTCGGGACGGCTGGGGTGAGCTGTAAAACCTTTTACGATTCGTACGACACGACATGCTGCAGTCGTTGCGATGTTCTCCAGCGAACGGCGCGAGTCATAAGGCACAGTCCGTGACGGGGTGACTTTCGGACCTAATTTCTTGTTTTTCGGGACTTCTTTTCAATTATTTCTCCTTGAATGAAGCGAAATCAAATTCACAATACCAGTTTTTCATGGAGACAAAAAAGTAGCCCTGAAAGTTGTGCCATTCGAATAGTAGCCCTAGGAAATGATAAAACAGTTCATCTGTCATTCTCCTAAACTATCCCTAAGTACCATAAGTGACATGAGATCTTATCTTGCTAAAATTCAACTCAAGTCGTGTTAGCCATTCTGCGAGTTATCATGGGAAGCGCAGTGTTCGAAATCCTAAAAATTTCCCAGTACGAATCGGGAGTGGATGGCGCACGACGCCGCCTCCTGTTCTCACTCAAAATGCAGCCGTTTTGTACGCTTGCGTCTCCGTCTATGCCCGTCTACGGTATGAAAAGTTGAACTGTTCCAACACTTCCCGATCCGTACGGTAGTATGGTTGCGTTCCCGTTCCTGGTGTTCACATTGGACGCCGTCAGACCGTCCTGTCGCTTCCCATCGATCCTTACGCCGCGTCCCGTCGAATTTGAACTAGGCTTTATCAATATGAACTAGAGGAGTTCATGTTGTTGTTTCTAGAACGAAGAATCAGGCTTGTCGTCACCCTTTGGCTTGAAGCTCTTATCACCAACTTCCGCAACGAATCAATCAAAAAGATACCGTCTTGACTCCCGATCTCTTTCATAGCCACGCATCAATATTACTGCGCTTGAAAGTACACGATTGCACTCGTATCCACAATTGGATGGAGTGCAAGGGCTAGAATACTGCCACTGGTATGCATGCATAAAAAATCGTTTGCATTCGCTTTGAACCCTAACGATTATCGATTGCGCTCTTTAAACGATCGGTTTGCGAGTTATCTGTATACTTGTTTCAGCCCTAAATGCATTGCCCTCGTAGAGGACAGGGATGAGCAGTGATATGAGCAGGGATGTGAGTACTGATGTGCCTTTCGTCCTCATATTTTACAGAGAAGACGTCTGCCCCCAATAATAAAATTAATGTAGTAATGATAATGTGTTGCCCTTTCATCTTCTCAGGAGCCCTATGCCTTTGCCTCTTCTCCCCTGGACTGAATGGACTGGACGCTCTGTCCAGTAGTGTCCAGTAAATGATTTGTAGTGTAAGTTAGGGTGCACTCTCTCTTGAGGATTTGCCCACCTTGATGATTGTGCTCTTCGTGTTATTAGAAAATGTCTCTACCTGCCAGGATGGTATAAGAGCACGAACTGAATCACCTGTTGGTGCAGAAGGCTTGGAGGACTGCTTTTGAAACAGTTGTTCAAATTTCCTGCACCTCTTCGTAGCCGTTGTCTGATTGCTGCATTCTGGGGAGACTGAAGTTAAGGTTAGTGAAGCTGCACAGTCCCCGTGGAAATGTTTATGCTGCAACTATTTACTGCTGACATGTATTTATGTATTTCAGGAATCTGCAGAGGGTGAAGGCTTGCTGCAAGCTCCGTCCCTTCAATGTCGTGATACATCCGTAGATCAGTCGTGTGCCTGTCCTGTGCTTTTATGAGCATGCTCCTTTGCACATGCCTTTGTCCTGTGCATGCGTGGGCACGCGCGCGTGTGTGTGTGTGTGTGTGTACGCCGACGACACCGTCCGTGCACATGTGCATGGACGTGAGTTTGTGCGTTTGCCTTTGTTATATGCATACAGTATTATCAATTTATCAAGCCTATACAAGCCTTGCCAGTGTCTCGATAGGAGAAGCAGATACATGATTACACCACTTGGGTTTTGACCTTCTTTGGCCGGGGCGAATGTCGAAGGAAAGACTCCCTCTGGGCCAAGGTGTTGGCGACAGTTGAGAGTTGTCCTCTATTTTGCAGCGGGGGACAGCATGGCATATTTGGTGCCGGAAAGAGTGCAGTTGCACTTTTCATGTTACTGTAAAATTTGCTAGGTCAATCCCTTGAAGCTGGAGACTGCTGATACTGCTGCTCAAACGGCTGCTGCTGTTACTCTCTGCTGCTACCATGGTCGTTGCTTTGTATCAATGGCGAAAATTCTCAGATGAGCTTTGGGTCCGGGCACTAGAACCCTGCTGCTGCCTCTGCAGCAGCTGTAGAAAGTTTTATAATACCAGTGTCGATGGTGAACTTCTGCTCTTTTTTTATCCCAGACACTTTGTGCTCAAGAGACTGTTAGGTCTTTGTGGTGTTGTCGTTGCTGTTTGGTTATACTAGTTGGCGTCTGTTTGGAAATATATTGTGCTTTTCTGTGTGTTCATGTGAACGTAGAAGCCCTCACCGAAACCAACACTACGTTGCTGTGTTGTTTTCTTCCAAGGTCGGGCACAGTAAAGGAGACGACTCTGTGAGTATATTCGCAGATGAACTTTGGGTTAATAGAATGCAGGTGCTGCTGCTCTTGTGCCGGGCTGTTGGTGTCAATGATGGGGTGGATCATGCTTTCTCTTTATATACCTTTTGTATATTTGTGTGTAATTAGGAGCACATACCAACACGTAATCTTTCTAAAGCCTAGTTCTCTTTCGACGCAACGCTGACGGTACGGGACGTAAGGGCCTGTGACGGCTGGGGTGAGCTGTAAAATCTTGTACAATTCGTACGACACGACATGCTCCAGTCTTTGCGATGTTCAACAGCGAATGGTGCGAGTCATAAGGCACAGTCCGTGACGGGGTGACCGTCCCGGCGTTTCCCGTCGATCCTTATGTCGCGTCCCGTTGCGCCCCGTCGAATGTGAACTGGGCTTAACAATGGCATGGAGACAGTTTCAATTGCAGTTTAATGTTACTGCACTGCACTGCAGGTATCAAGGCACTACCCAGAGGGAGGATGTTGGCCTTCTCCTGATGGGAAAATGTCTTCTTTCTCATGGCGTGGCCAGGACTGCACTGACCCTACCATCCACTCTACCTCTCCGGAAAGGGACTTGACAACCAGTCAAGATGGATGTGCAGAGATATACTAGCGGTAAGTCACATGCTTAGGATATCCACTTGATGAAGGAAGGACAGGTGCTCAACTACTACACCAAAATATGAGCATAAGGAGATGGGCTGATGGGTCATGGGTGGGTGACAGGTCTTTGCCCGGTTGCTGGAGTATAACAACCTGGGTCTTTGATTGGTTTAGAAGCGGTCCGCTCTATTTGGGGTGCCATCCTCAATTAGACGGGCAGTGAAGATCTTGCAGGATCAATCGCACATGTAGAATATGGACATGTGGATGCGGGCAGCAGATCTGTAATTTCCAGTATCAAAGTTCAGTTGTATTTGCTTTTCTTTATTTTCTATTTGTGATGTTGTTCACTGCAGCTTCTAGCATTAACTGCCAATTTGCACTGACGCAGCAAGACTCCCAACAGTCAAGTATGTTTCATTGCATGCACTAGGATTACAGTAGAATGCCGATTATCCGAATGTCAACTGTCCAAACGGTCAATTATCCGAAATTCCTGTTTGCACTGAATTCAATTCAATAAGTCGACTTATACCGGTAAAATATGGTAACAGCGGGACTGTAGGGTGTGGCATTTCCATGATACAGTGGAAAATTTCACGATTTTTGGTGCAAACATAGCTCGGACGCTGCTCGATTGGATATACAATGCAGGTTCTTGGAACCACGGACACGACTCTTCGATTCAAGGATCACAACACTTCGGGATCTGAACGTTTTAGGTCCGGGAGCTGTTCGCGGTTTTGTCGCTTGTCACGGTTGTGGACTCATCGTTGTAGCATAAATGAGGCTGGACTATTCCAAGCGGAAAACTAAAATATTTCCTTCTCAAAGCACAATCACCGGCCCGGAGGAGCACACCTTCTCTAACTACATACCGGGTGCAGTACATGACACGTCCGTGTATTGACTAGTCTCTTGTACATTAATTTTAGATCTACCACACGACTCGCGTAGCGCTAGCACAGCAGTGCGGGTGTAGTCATGTACTACTACTACTACAGTACTGCCGGGCGCCGATGAACGGCCAGGCTATGATTTCGCTATTTTTTAAGAACGGTCTAGGTAGAAACGTGATGTACAATATGAATATGATGTACACTCAGACGTATAACTCTGCATAAATGTACATGTAAGACTGAACCATCGAATATGAACGAAACTGCTGTGTTCGCCAAAAATAAGAACGGGCTAGGCTAGAACCCTGACCCCGTTCTTCGGCGCCCGGCAGTACTGTAGTGTAATGTCCCGTATGTTTGTTGACTATGGCATGCACGCAGAAGCCAGCGGATGTAAAAAGTCCAACTCGGAAACGGCTAAAAACGGGGTATCCTCAAATTTTGCCGAGCTGAAAATCACAGGGTACGTAGGGCTTGTAACAGTGAGTCGAATGCTCTTGGTACGAAGAAGCTGCGACAGATAGTTCTCAAATCGAACGCGTTTCGAATATTGGCCATTTTGCACACAAATAGATGGTGTGGCTACCTGGCTGCACACTGTGACCTTATCACCTGGATCAGGTAGACTGCGTGCTCGCTTTCGCTCATTTTCGATTAGGCGTATCTGACGAACCATGGACCGCCGCCTCCTCGGAAAAGAACATTCGACTCAGCGCCCCAAACTCTATGGGTCCTGAAATTAAAAAAAATTCAGCAGACTTCCCCTATAATACGTAAGGCAGAACTTATTACAGTCCTTGATTAGAAGTTGACATATTCTTGTACGAATCCGGTGTCTTTTGTGAAAAGTGTATGCAAGCCTTTTAAAAAGCATCTCCCACCAGGCATTCGATCGAATTTTTCATGGCGTGGAGATTTGTTACGGCGTGAACCGATGCTTGGCGTGTAGAATTTGCTTTTTGATGTGTTCTTTGGAAGATGCAGTCTTAAAAATGGTGTGGATGTCTTTGTTTCTGTCCTTCTGCTGTCCTCGTAGAAAGAATAATATAGACGTGCAGAAAATGTAGGAGAGCGATGACATCAGAAGGACACTCTCAGGTTCAGGGTACCTGTACTGCCCCAATAAAGTGGGTCAGATCCCAAAACGAGGTTGGCCGAAGCAAAAAAAATAGAAGAGCCTGCCTTGAACTGAATATGAGGAGGAAGAAGAAGAAGACAAAGAAAGAGAAAGAGTAGGAATTTGTTTGTGTAAACTTTGTTTCCTCTGTCTAGGCTGCCACCGCATTATAGCAGCCAACAGTGTGTGTGTGTGTGCGTGCGTGCGTGCGTGCGTGCGTGCGTGTGTGTGTTTGCGTTTGTGTGCACACGCTTGTGTGCACACGCTTGTGTGTGTGTTTGCATGTGTGTATATTCTGCTAATCTTGACTTAAATTTCCACATCTGGGCATATTGTGTTCTGTATGTGAATTTATCTTCATTAACTTGTGCGCTACGTTCCTTTCTTCACGTTACGGCACTTTAGTATTGTTTTACTTGAACATCATACTCTCGCCCAACTTTGTTTCACCAACAAAGGTTTATTCTCCAAAGTATTTCTAATTGATTGTGTATGAGTTTCATACTACTGTCAGGGGCGTCGGAATGTTTTTTAGTGTGGTACGGTCAGCCATCTGAAGTACAATTGACTCGTGGGGGAGTGTTGGCTGAGCCGAAAATTTTGGAATTTTAGATCCCAAATCAGTGTATTTTGTTGACTCACGGGTATCTGGGGCAAAAAGTGGTACGGTCAATACCGTAGTGACCGTACAGTGTGCGACGCCCCTGACTGTTGGAATCCACCAGCTGTGTTTCCTTGAGGGGCGTATCCTTACCTGGGATGTGTTTCTCATTCCCGGCAGCAGAAAGAGCTCTACAATATGTATATAATTTAAGAATAGAATTTGATGTACAGGAGAGTGCCAATTATCCCCACCCCTCGGGACGCGGGCTGTCTCCAGGGGGTTCAGATGAGAAGAATGTTCGGATAAGAGAGCAGTCACACATCTATCTAAATCATGCATATTCCAGCATGTTTTCATCACTTTCGTTCTCTTCAGCAGTGAAACAGGAACTAGGTGCACTCATGCTCCTCTGAATTAATGACACTATTATTACACATTTTGACTAAAACCTGTTTTAATACATCTTGTGAATCGCTTCAATGGTGCCCCGAGCGACGAAAATCAACAACTTGAAACTCATCTTCTACCCCTCAATTAAATGCAAGCAATTATTTTGGATAATTAATCATTTGGATAGTTGACATTGGAGGATAATCAGCACATTGTGTGTGATGGGGGGGGGGGGGGAGGGAGGAAGAGGAGGAGGCTGCGAGAGGCCGTGGTGGACGTGTACTTGTGCAGAGCCTGGAAATAGCCTCACTTTAGATGTATGCACATTCAAACGGTGGATGCTTCCCGCCATCCTTTTCCCCCTCTTTTTCCTTTTCCCGCCATTCTTTACCCCCTCTTTTTCAATTTCCCGCTCTTCTTTTCCCCCTCTTTTTCCCCCTTTTTCTCCCCTTTTCCCCCTTTTCTGCGAGAAGATTAGCCCCCTCCTTGATGAAACGAAATGAAACAAAATGAAACAAGATGAAACAAGATGAAACAAGATGAAACCAAAATGAAACTCGAAGTACGGGCGTAGATGGGCCGCGAATGAAACAAGATGAAACAAGATGAAACAAGATGAAACAATGTACGGGCGGAGATGGGCCGCGCCCAGTGCACCCGGCGTGACGTGCACGAGCGAAAAGAACTGAATTAATCCAATCATTGAAATAATTTTGTTTGCAGAGGCAATTCGCGCAAGGGAGGTATGGCTTGCGAGTGACAGCACGAGCCGAATTTATTGCCCGTGGAAGTACCCACGATAGGAATACACTGTTGGGAACATGGTGGCGCCGCTGACGGTACCTATGTAAGTGGAATTACTTTATTGGAAGTACCCACGACGGGGAAAATAGTCTCTCTAGTATTGTCGGTGAATGGTGATGGTGGTGGTGGCGATGGCTACTTTCCTCTGCTCAGAGAGAACCCCTGCATGTCCTTCGTCGTGATGCGAAAGAGCAGTGGATGCAGGTAAAGGCCGTGTCAGAGAATTTCGCCTAGTGCTGTGGCCAGGGTGAAAATAAATTAGGGCTGAAACGATCATTCAATAACTCCAAGCGATCAACCAATCTCTTTAGCGATGAATATCATTGTAACATAGAAAAATGTGGGCACAAGTTATGCAATCGAGTCCACCAACTAAACCAGATTTCGAATAGTCAGACGTGCACAATCTAGCACAAAACTGACAAGGAGTATGAGTACTGAGACATTGAGATCAATTATAATTGTTGGTTCATAATTATAGATTCTTTCCGGCTGTAGTCGTGCACCTCGAACACAAGACTATGAAGAAATTCCATGATGCCTTTGCTACATTAGCTGTGGCCACCAGTCAAACACTCTAAATATACCCAGGCTACCGCTCAGTGTAGTGTATTCTGTAAACATTTCAGGCAATTGTGTCGACACCTGTAGACATCTGACTGGTCTAAAGCCTAGTTCACATTCGACGTAACACTGACGGTACAGGACGTAAGGGCCTGTCGGGACGGCTGGGGTGAGCTGTAAAACCTTTTACGATTCGTACGACACGACATGCTGCAGTCGTTGCGATGTTCTCCAGCGAACGGCGCGAGTCATAAGGCACAGTCCGTGACGGGGTGACTTTCGGACCTAATTTCTTGTTTTTCGGGACTTCTTTTCAATTATTTCTCCTTGAATGAAGCGAAATCAAATTCACAATACCAGTTTTTCATGGAGACAAAAAAGTAGCCCTGAAAGTTGTGCCATTCGAATAGTAGCCCTAGGAAATGATAAAACAGTTCATCTGTCATTCTCCTAAACTATCCCTAAGTACCATAAGTGACATGAGATCTTATCTTGCTAAAATTCAACTCAAGTCGTGTTAGCCATTCTGCGAGTTATCATGGGAAGCGCAGTGTTCGAAATCCTAAAAATTTCCCAGTACGAATCGGGAGTGGATGGCGCACGACGCCGCCTCCTGTTCTCACTCAAAATGCAGCCGTTTTGTACGCTTGCGTCTCCGTCTATGCCCGTCTACGGTATGAAAAGTTGAACTGTTCCAACACTTCCCGATCCGTACGGTAGTATGGTTGCGTTCCCGTTCCTGGTGTTCACATTGGACGCCGTCAGACCGTCCTGTCGCTTCCCATCGATCCTTACGCCGCGTCCCGTCGAATTTGAACTAGGCTTTATCAATATGAACTAGAGGAGTTCATGTTGTTGTTTCTAGAACGAAGAATCAGGCTTGTCGTCACCCTTTGGCTTGAAGCTCTTATCACCAACTTCCGCAACGAATCAATCAAAAAGATACCGTCTTGACTCCCGATCTCTTTCATAGCCACGCATCAATATTACTGCGCTTGAAAGTACACGATTGCACTCGTATCCACAATTGGATGGAGTGCAAGGGCTAGAATACTGCCACTGGTATGCATGCATAAAAAATCGTTTGCATTCGCTTTGAACCCTAACGATTATCGATTGCGCTCTTTAAACGATCGGTTTGCGAGTTATCTGTATACTTGTTTCAGCCCTAAATGCATTGCCCTCGTAGAGGACAGGGATGAGCAGTGATATGAGCAGGGATGTGAGTACTGATGTGCCTTTCGTCCTCATATTTTACAGAGAAGACGTCTGCCCCCAATAATAAAATTAATGTAGTAATGATAATGTGTTGCCCTTTCATCTTCTCAGGAGCCCTATGCCTTTGCCTCTTCTCCCCTGGACTGAATGGACTGGACGCTCTGTCCAGTAGTGTCCAGTAAATGATTTGTAGTGTAAGTTAGGGTGCACTCTCTCTTGAGGATTTGCCCACCTTGATGATTGTGCTCTTCGTGTTATTAGAAAATGTCTCTACCTGCCAGGATGGTATAAGAGCACGAACTGAATCACCTGTTGGTGCAGAAGGCTTGGAGGACTGCTTTTGAAACAGTTGTTCAAATTTCCTGCACCTCTTCGTAGCCGTTGTCTGATTGCTGCATTCTGGGGAGACTGAAGTTAAGGTTAGTGAAGCTGCACAGTCCCCGTGGAAATGTTTATGCTGCAACTATTTACTGCTGACATGTATTTATGTATTTCAGGAATCTGCAGAGGGTGAAGGCTTGCTGCAAGCTCCGTCCCTTCAATGTCGTGATACATCCGTAGATCAGTCGTGTGCCTGTCCTGTGCTTTTATGAGCATGCTCCTTTGCACATGCCTTTGTCCTGTGCATGCGTGGGCACGCGCGCGTGTGTGTGTGTGTGTGTGTACGCCGACGACACCGTCCGTGCACATGTGCATGGACGTGAGTTTGTGCGTTTGCCTTTGTTATATGCATACAGTATTATCAATTTATCAAGCCTATACAAGCCTTGCCAGTGTCTCGATAGGAGAAGCAGATACATGATTACACCACTTGGGTTTTGACCTTCTTTGGCCGGGGCGAATGTCGAAGGAAAGACTCCCTCTGGGCCAAGGTGTTGGCGACAGTTGAGAGTTGTCCTCTATTTTGCAGCGGGGGACAGCATGGCATATTTGGTGCCGGAAAGAGTGCAGTTGCACTTTTCATGTTACTGTAAAATTTGCTAGGTCAATCCCTTGAAGCTGGAGACTGCTGATACTGCTGCTCAAACGGCTGCTGCTGTTACTCTCTGCTGCTACCATGGTCGTTGCTTTGTATCAATGGCGAAAATTCTCAGATGAGCTTTGGGTCCGGGCACTAGAACCCTGCTGCTGCCTCTGCAGCAGCTGTAGAAAGTTTTATAATACCAGTGTCGATGGTGAACTTCTGCTCTTTTTTTATCCCAGACACTTTGTGCTCAAGAGACTGTTAGGTCTTTGTGGTGTTGTCGTTGCTGTTTGGTTATACTAGTTGGCGTCTGTTTGGAAATATATTGTGCTTTTCTGTGTGTTCATGTGAACGTAGAAGCCCTCACCGAAACCAACACTACGTTGCTGTGTTGTTTTCTTCCAAGGTCGGGCACAGTAAAGGAGACGACTCTGTGAGTATATTCGCAGATGAACTTTGGGTTAATAGAATGCAGGTGCTGCTGCTCTTGTGCCGGGCTGTTGGTGTCAATGATGGGGTGGATCATGCTTTCTCTTTATATACCTTTTGTATATTTGTGTGTAATTAGGAGCACATACCAACACGTAATCTTTCTAAAGCCTAGTTCTCTTTCGACGCAACGCTGACGGTACGGGACGTAAGGGCCTGTGACGGCTGGGGTGAGCTGTAAAATCTTGTACAATTCGTACGACACGACATGCTCCAGTCTTTGCGATGTTCAACAGCGAATGGTGCGAGTCATAAGGCACAGTCCGTGACGGGGTGACCGTCCCGGCGTTTCCCGTCGATCCTTATGTCGCGTCCCGTTGCGCCCCGTCGAATGTGAACTGGGCTTAACAATGGCATGGAGACAGTTTCAATTGCAGTTTAATGTTACTGCACTGCACTGCAGGTATCAAGGCACTACCCAGAGGGAGGATGTTGGCCTTCTCCTGATGGGAAAATGTCTTCTTTCTCATGGCGTGGCCAGGACTGCACTGACCCTACCATCCACTCTACCTCTCCGGAAAGGGACTTGACAACCAGTCAAGATGGATGTGCAGAGATATACTAGCGGTAAGTCACATGCTTAGGATATCCACTTGATGAAGGAAGGACAGGTGCTCAACTACTACACCAAAATATGAGCATAAGGAGATGGGCTGATGGGTCATGGGTGGGTGACAGGTCTTTGCCCGGTTGCTGGAGTATAACAACCTGGGTCTTTGATTGGTTTAGAAGCGGTCCGCTCTATTTGGGGTGCCATCCTCAATTAGACGGGCAGTGAAGATCTTGCAGGATCAATCGCACATGTAGAATATGGACATGTGGATGCGGGCAGCAGATCTGTAATTTCCAGTATCAAAGTTCAGTTGTATTTGCTTTTCTTTATTTTCTATTTGTGATGTTGTTCACTGCAGCTTCTAGCATTAACTGCCAATTTGCACTGACGCAGCAAGACTCCCAACAGTCAAGTATGTTTCATTGCATGCACTAGGATTACAGTAGAATGCCGATTATCCGAATGTCAACTGTCCAAACGGTCAATTATCCGAAATTCCTGTTTGCACTGAATTCAATTCAATAAGTCGACTTATACCGGTAAAATATGGTAACAGCGGGACTGTAGGGTGTGGCATTTCCATGATACAGTGGAAAATTTCACGATTTTTGGTGCAAACATAGCTCGGACGCTGCTCGATTGGATATACAATGCAGGTTCTTGGAACCACGGACACGACTCTTCGATTCAAGGATCACAACACTTCGGGATCTGAACGTTTTAGGTCCGGGAGCTGTTCGCGGTTTTGTCGCTTGTCACGGTTGTGGACTCATCGTTGTAGCATAAATGAGGCTGGACTATTCCAAGCGGAAAACTAAAATATTTCCTTCTCAAAGCACAATCACCGGCCCGGAGGAGCACACCTTCTCTAACTACATACCGGGTGCAGTACATGACACGTCCGTGTATTGACTAGTCTCTTGTACATTAATTTTAGATCTACCACACGACTCGCGTAGCGCTAGCACAGCAGTGCGGGTGTAGTCATGTACTACTACTACTACAGTACTGCCGGGCGCCGATGAACGGCCAGGCTATGATTTCGCTATTTTTTAAGAACGGTCTAGGTAGAAACGTGATGTACAATATGAATATGATGTACACTCAGACGTATAACTCTGCATAAATGTACATGTAAGACTGAACCATCGAATATGAACGAAACTGCTGTGTTCGCCAAAAATAAGAACGGGCTAGGCTAGAACCCTGACCCCGTTCTTCGGCGCCCGGCAGTACTGTAGTGTAATGTCCCGTATGTTTGTTGACTATGGCATGCACGCAGAAGCCAGCGGATGTAAAAAGTCCAACTCGGAAACGGCTAAAAACGGGGTATCCTCAAATTTTGCCGAGCTGAAAATCACAGGGTACGTAGGGCTTGTAACAGTGAGTCGAATGCTCTTGGTACGAAGAAGCTGCGACAGATAGTTCTCAAATCGAACGCGTTTCGAATATTGGCCATTTTGCACACAAATAGATGGTGTGGCTACCTGGCTGCACACTGTGACCTTATCACCTGGATCAGGTAGACTGCGTGCTCGCTTTCGCTCATTTTCGATTAGGCGTATCTGACGAACCATGGACCGCCGCCTCCTCGGAAAAGAACATTCGACTCAGCGCCCCAAACTCTATGGGTCCTGAAATTAAAAAAAATTCAGCAGACTTCCCCTATAATACGTAAGGCAGAACTTATTACAGTCCTTGATTAGAAGTTGACATATTCTTGTACGAATCCGGTGTCTTTTGTGAAAAGTGTATGCAAGCCTTTTAAAAAGCATCTCCCACCAGGCATTCGATCGAATTTTTCATGGCGTGGAGATTTGTTACGGCGTGAACCGATGCTTGGCGTGTAGAATTTGCTTTTTGATGTGTTCTTTGGAAGATGCAGTCTTAAAAATGGTGTGGATGTCTTTGTTTCTGTCCTTCTGCTGTCCTCGTAGAAAGAATAATATAGACGTGCAGAAAATGTAGGAGAGCGATGACATCAGAAGGACACTCTCAGGTTCAGGGTACCTGTACTGCCCCAATAAAGTGGGTCAGATCCCAAAACGAGGTTGGCCGAAGCAAAAAAAATAGAAGAGCCTGCCTTGAACTGAATATGAGGAGGAAGAAGAAGAAGACAAAGAAAGAGAAAGAGTAGGAATTTGTTTGTGTAAACTTTGTTTCCTCTGTCTAGGCTGCCACCGCATTATAGCAGCCAACAGTGTGTGTGTGTGTGCGTGCGTGCGTGCGTGCGTGCGTGCGTGTGTGTGTTTGCGTTTGTGTGCACACGCTTGTGTGCACACGCTTGTGTGTGTGTTTGCATGTGTGTATATTCTGCTAATCTTGACTTAAATTTCCACATCTGGGCATATTGTGTTCTGTATGTGAATTTATCTTCATTAACTTGTGCGCTACGTTCCTTTCTTCACGTTACGGCACTTTAGTATTGTTTTACTTGAACATCATACTCTCGCCCAACTTTGTTTCACCAACAAAGGTTTATTCTCCAAAGTATTTCTAATTGATTGTGTATGAGTTTCATACTACTGTCAGGGGCGTCGGAATGTTTTTTAGTGTGGTACGGTCAGCCATCTGAAGTACAATTGACTCGTGGGGGAGTGTTGGCTGAGCCGAAAATTTTGGAATTTTAGATCCCAAATCAGTGTATTTTGTTGACTCACGGGTATCTGGGGCAAAAAGTGGTACGGTCAATACCGTAGTGACCGTACAGTGTGCGACGCCCCTGACTGTTGGAATCCACCAGCTGTGTTTCCTTGAGGGGCGTATCCTTACCTGGGATGTGTTTCTCATTCCCGGCAGCAGAAAGAGCTCTACAATATGTATATAATTTAAGAATAGAATTTGATGTACAGGAGAGTGCCAATTATCCCCACCCCTCGGGACGCGGGCTGTCTCCAGGGGGTTCAGATGAGAAGAATGTTCGGATAAGAGAGCAGTCACACATCTATCTAAATCATGCATATTCCAGCATGTTTTCATCACTTTCGTTCTCTTCAGCAGTGAAACAGGAACTAGGTGCACTCATGCTCCTCTGAATTAATGACACTATTATTACACATTTTGACTAAAACCTGTTTTAATACATCTTGTGAATCGCTTCAATGGTGCCCCGAGCGACGAAAATCAACAACTTGAAACTCATCTTCTACCCCTCAATTAAATGCAAGCAATTATTTTGGATAATTAATCATTTGGATAGTTGACATTGGAGGATAATCAGCACATTGTGTGTGATGGGGGGGGGGGGGGAGGGAGGAAGAGGAGGAGGCTGCGAGAGGCCGTGGTGGACGTGTACTTGTGCAGAGCCTGGAAATAGCCTCACTTTAGATGTATGCACATTCAAACGGTGGATGCTTCCCGCCATCCTTTTCCCCCTCTTTTTCCTTTTCCCGCCATTCTTTACCCCCTCTTTTTCAATTTCCCGCTCTTCTTTTCCCCCTCTTTTTCCCCCTTTTTCTCCCCTTTTCCCCCTTTTCTGCGAGAAGATTAGCCCCCTCCTTGATGAAACGAAATGAAACAAAATGAAACAAGATGAAACAAGATGAAACAAGATGAAACCAAAATGAAACTCGAAGTACGGGCGTAGATGGGCCGCGAATGAAACAAGATGAAACAAGATGAAACAAGATGAAACAATGTACGGGCGGAGATGGGCCGCGCCCAGTGCACCCGGCGTGACGTGCACGAGCGAAAAGAACTGAATTAATCCAATCATTGAAATAATTTTGTTTGCAGAGGCAATTCGCGCAAGGGAGGTATGGCTTGCGAGTGACAGCACGAGCCGAATTTATTGCCCGTGGAAGTACCCACGATAGGAATACACTGTTGGGAACATGGTGGCGCCGCTGACGGTACCTATGTAAGTGGAATTACTTTATTGGAAGTACCCACGACGGGGAAAATAGTCTCTCTAGTATTGTCGGTGAATGGTGATGGTGGTGGTGGCGATGGCTACTTTCCTCTGCTCAGAGAGAACCCCTGCATGTCCTTCGTCGTGATGCGAAAGAGCAGTGGATGCAGGTAAAGGCCGTGTCAGAGAATTTCGCCTAGTGCTGTGGCCAGGGTGAAAATAAATTAGGGCTGAAACGATCATTCAATAACTCCAAGCGATCAACCAATCTCTTTAGCGATGAATATCATTGTAACATAGAAAAATGTGGGCACAAGTTATGCAATCGAGTCCACCAACTAAACCAGATTTCGAATAGTCAGACGTGCACAATCTAGCACAAAACTGACAAGGAGTATGAGTACTGAGACATTGAGATCAATTATAATTGTTGGTTCATAATTATAGATTCTTTCCGGCTGTAGTCGTGCACCTCGAACACAAGACTATGAAGAAATTCCATGATGCCTTTGCTACATTAGCTGTGGCCACCAGTCAAACACTCTAAATATACCCAGGCTACCGCTCAGTGTAGTGTATTCTGTAAACATTTCAGGCAATTGTGTCGACACCTGTAGACATCTGACTGGTCTAAAGCCTAGTTCACATTCGACGTAACACTGACGGTACAGGACGTAAGGGCCTGTCGGGACGGCTGGGGTGAGCTGTAAAACCTTTTACGATTCGTACGACACGACATGCTGCAGTCGTTGCGATGTTCTCCAGCGAACGGCGCGAGTCATAAGGCACAGTCCGTGACGGGGTGACTTTCGGACCTAATTTCTTGTTTTTCGGGACTTCTTTTCAATTATTTCTCCTTGAATGAAGCGAAATCAAATTCACAATACCAGTTTTTCATGGAGACAAAAAAGTAGCCCTGAAAGTTGTGCCATTCGAATAGTAGCCCTAGGAAATGATAAAACAGTTCATCTGTCATTCTCCTAAACTATCCCTAAGTACCATAAGTGACATGAGATCTTATCTTGCTAAAATTCAACTCAAGTCGTGTTAGCCATTCTGCGAGTTATCATGGGAAGCGCAGTGTTCGAAATCCTAAAAATTTCCCAGTACGAATCGGGAGTGGATGGCGCACGACGCCGCCTCCTGTTCTCACTCAAAATGCAGCCGTTTTGTACGCTTGCGTCTCCGTCTATGCCCGTCTACGGTATGAAAAGTTGAACTGTTCCAACACTTCCCGATCCGTACGGTAGTATGGTTGCGTTCCCGTTCCTGGTGTTCACATTGGACGCCGTCAGACCGTCCTGTCGCTTCCCATCGATCCTTACGCCGCGTCCCGTCGAATTTGAACTAGGCTTTATCAATATGAACTAGAGGAGTTCATGTTGTTGTTTCTAGAACGAAGAATCAGGCTTGTCGTCACCCTTTGGCTTGAAGCTCTTATCACCAACTTCCGCAACGAATCAATCAAAAAGATACCGTCTTGACTCCCGATCTCTTTCATAGCCACGCATCAATATTACTGCGCTTGAAAGTACACGATTGCACTCGTATCCACAATTGGATGGAGTGCAAGGGCTAGAATACTGCCACTGGTATGCATGCATAAAAAATCGTTTGCATTCGCTTTGAACCCTAACGATTATCGATTGCGCTCTTTAAACGATCGGTTTGCGAGTTATCTGTATACTTGTTTCAGCCCTAAATGCATTGCCCTCGTAGAGGACAGGGATGAGCAGTGATATGAGCAGGGATGTGAGTACTGATGTGCCTTTCGTCCTCATATTTTACAGAGAAGACGTCTGCCCCCAATAATAAAATTAATGTAGTAATGATAATGTGTTGCCCTTTCATCTTCTCAGGAGCCCTATGCCTTTGCCTCTTCTCCCCTGGACTGAATGGACTGGACGCTCTGTCCAGTAGTGTCCAGTAAATGATTTGTAGTGTAAGTTAGGGTGCACTCTCTCTTGAGGATTTGCCCACCTTGATGATTGTGCTCTTCGTGTTATTAGAAAATGTCTCTACCTGCCAGGATGGTATAAGAGCACGAACTGAATCACCTGTTGGTGCAGAAGGCTTGGAGGACTGCTTTTGAAACAGTTGTTCAAATTTCCTGCACCTCTTCGTAGCCGTTGTCTGATTGCTGCATTCTGGGGAGACTGAAGTTAAGGTTAGTGAAGCTGCACAGTCCCCGTGGAAATGTTTATGCTGCAACTATTTACTGCTGACATGTATTTATGTATTTCAGGAATCTGCAGAGGGTGAAGGCTTGCTGCAAGCTCCGTCCCTTCAATGTCGTGATACATCCGTAGATCAGTCGTGTGCCTGTCCTGTGCTTTTATGAGCATGCTCCTTTGCACATGCCTTTGTCCTGTGCATGCGTGGGCACGCGCGCGTGTGTGTGTGTGTGTGTGTACGCCGACGACACCGTCCGTGCACATGTGCATGGACGTGAGTTTGTGCGTTTGCCTTTGTTATATGCATACAGTATTATCAATTTATCAAGCCTATACAAGCCTTGCCAGTGTCTCGATAGGAGAAGCAGATACATGATTACACCACTTGGGTTTTGACCTTCTTTGGCCGGGGCGAATGTCGAAGGAAAGACTCCCTCTGGGCCAAGGTGTTGGCGACAGTTGAGAGTTGTCCTCTATTTTGCAGCGGGGGACAGCATGGCATATTTGGTGCCGGAAAGAGTGCAGTTGCACTTTTCATGTTACTGTAAAATTTGCTAGGTCAATCCCTTGAAGCTGGAGACTGCTGATACTGCTGCTCAAACGGCTGCTGCTGTTACTCTCTGCTGCTACCATGGTCGTTGCTTTGTATCAATGGCGAAAATTCTCAGATGAGCTTTGGGTCCGGGCACTAGAACCCTGCTGCTGCCTCTGCAGCAGCTGTAGAAAGTTTTATAATACCAGTGTCGATGGTGAACTTCTGCTCTTTTTTTATCCCAGACACTTTGTGCTCAAGAGACTGTTAGGTCTTTGTGGTGTTGTCGTTGCTGTTTGGTTATACTAGTTGGCGTCTGTTTGGAAATATATTGTGCTTTTCTGTGTGTTCATGTGAACGTAGAAGCCCTCACCGAAACCAACACTACGTTGCTGTGTTGTTTTCTTCCAAGGTCGGGCACAGTAAAGGAGACGACTCTGTGAGTATATTCGCAGATGAACTTTGGGTTAATAGAATGCAGGTGCTGCTGCTCTTGTGCCGGGCTGTTGGTGTCAATGATGGGGTGGATCATGCTTTCTCTTTATATACCTTTTGTATATTTGTGTGTAATTAGGAGCACATACCAACACGTAATCTTTCTAAAGCCTAGTTCTCTTTCGACGCAACGCTGACGGTACGGGACGTAAGGGCCTGTGACGGCTGGGGTGAGCTGTAAAATCTTGTACAATTCGTACGACACGACATGCTCCAGTCTTTGCGATGTTCAACAGCGAATGGTGCGAGTCATAAGGCACAGTCCGTGACGGGGTGACCGTCCCGGCGTTTCCCGTCGATCCTTATGTCGCGTCCCGTTGCGCCCCGTCGAATGTGAACTGGGCTTAACAATGGCATGGAGACAGTTTCAATTGCAGTTTAATGTTACTGCACTGCACTGCAGGTATCAAGGCACTACCCAGAGGGAGGATGTTGGCCTTCTCCTGATGGGAAAATGTCTTCTTTCTCATGGCGTGGCCAGGACTGCACTGACCCTACCATCCACTCTACCTCTCCGGAAAGGGACTTGACAACCAGTCAAGATGGATGTGCAGAGATATACTAGCGGTAAGTCACATGCTTAGGATATCCACTTGATGAAGGAAGGACAGGTGCTCAACTACTACACCAAAATATGAGCATAAGGAGATGGGCTGATGGGTCATGGGTGGGTGACAGGTCTTTGCCCGGTTGCTGGAGTATAACAACCTGGGTCTTTGATTGGTTTAGAAGCGGTCCGCTCTATTTGGGGTGCCATCCTCAATTAGACGGGCAGTGAAGATCTTGCAGGATCAATCGCACATGTAGAATATGGACATGTGGATGCGGGCAGCAGATCTGTAATTTCCAGTATCAAAGTTCAGTTGTATTTGCTTTTCTTTATTTTCTATTTGTGATGTTGTTCACTGCAGCTTCTAGCATTAACTGCCAATTTGCACTGACGCAGCAAGACTCCCAACAGTCAAGTATGTTTCATTGCATGCACTAGGATTACAGTAGAATGCCGATTATCCGAATGTCAACTGTCCAAACGGTCAATTATCCGAAATTCCTGTTTGCACTGAATTCAATTCAATAAGTCGACTTATACCGGTAAAATATGGTAACAGCGGGACTGTAGGGTGTGGCATTTCCATGATACAGTGGAAAATTTCACGATTTTTGGTGCAAACATAGCTCGGACGCTGCTCGATTGGATATACAATGCAGGTTCTTGGAACCACGGACACGACTCTTCGATTCAAGGATCACAACACTTCGGGATCTGAACGTTTTAGGTCCGGGAGCTGTTCGCGGTTTTGTCGCTTGTCACGGTTGTGGACTCATCGTTGTAGCATAAATGAGGCTGGACTATTCCAAGCGGAAAACTAAAATATTTCCTTCTCAAAGCACAATCACCGGCCCGGAGGAGCACACCTTCTCTAACTACATACCGGGTGCAGTACATGACACGTCCGTGTATTGACTAGTCTCTTGTACATTAATTTTAGATCTACCACACGACTCGCGTAGCGCTAGCACAGCAGTGCGGGTGTAGTCATGTACTACTACTACTACAGTACTGCCGGGCGCCGATGAACGGCCAGGCTATGATTTCGCTATTTTTTAAGAACGGTCTAGGTAGAAACGTGATGTACAATATGAATATGATGTACACTCAGACGTATAACTCTGCATAAATGTACATGTAAGACTGAACCATCGAATATGAACGAAACTGCTGTGTTCGCCAAAAATAAGAACGGGCTAGGCTAGAACCCTGACCCCGTTCTTCGGCGCCCGGCAGTACTGTAGTGTAATGTCCCGTATGTTTGTTGACTATGGCATGCACGCAGAAGCCAGCGGATGTAAAAAGTCCAACTCGGAAACGGCTAAAAACGGGGTATCCTCAAATTTTGCCGAGCTGAAAATCACAGGGTACGTAGGGCTTGTAACAGTGAGTCGAATGCTCTTGGTACGAAGAAGCTGCGACAGATAGTTCTCAAATCGAACGCGTTTCGAATATTGGCCATTTTGCACACAAATAGATGGTGTGGCTACCTGGCTGCACACTGTGACCTTATCACCTGGATCAGGTAGACTGCGTGCTCGCTTTCGCTCATTTTCGATTAGGCGTATCTGACGAACCATGGACCGCCGCCTCCTCGGAAAAGAACATTCGACTCAGCGCCCCAAACTCTATGGGTCCTGAAATTAAAAAAAATTCAGCAGACTTCCCCTATAATACGTAAGGCAGAACTTATTACAGTCCTTGATTAGAAGTTGACATATTCTTGTACGAATCCGGTGTCTTTTGTGAAAAGTGTATGCAAGCCTTTTAAAAAGCATCTCCCACCAGGCATTCGATCGAATTTTTCATGGCGTGGAGATTTGTTACGGCGTGAACCGATGCTTGGCGTGTAGAATTTGCTTTTTGATGTGTTCTTTGGAAGATGCAGTCTTAAAAATGGTGTGGATGTCTTTGTTTCTGTCCTTCTGCTGTCCTCGTAGAAAGAATAATATAGACGTGCAGAAAATGTAGGAGAGCGATGACATCAGAAGGACACTCTCAGGTTCAGGGTACCTGTACTGCCCCAATAAAGTGGGTCAGATCCCAAAACGAGGTTGGCCGAAGCAAAAAAAATAGAAGAGCCTGCCTTGAACTGAATATGAGGAGGAAGAAGAAGAAGACAAAGAAAGAGAAAGAGTAGGAATTTGTTTGTGTAAACTTTGTTTCCTCTGTCTAGGCTGCCACCGCATTATAGCAGCCAACAGTGTGTGTGTGTGTGCGTGCGTGCGTGCGTGCGTGCGTGCGTGTGTGTGTTTGCGTTTGTGTGCACACGCTTGTGTGCACACGCTTGTGTGTGTGTTTGCATGTGTGTATATTCTGCTAATCTTGACTTAAATTTCCACATCTGGGCATATTGTGTTCTGTATGTGAATTTATCTTCATTAACTTGTGCGCTACGTTCCTTTCTTCACGTTACGGCACTTTAGTATTGTTTTACTTGAACATCATACTCTCGCCCAACTTTGTTTCACCAACAAAGGTTTATTCTCCAAAGTATTTCTAATTGATTGTGTATGAGTTTCATACTACTGTCAGGGGCGTCGGAATGTTTTTTAGTGTGGTACGGTCAGCCATCTGAAGTACAATTGACTCGTGGGGGAGTGTTGGCTGAGCCGAAAATTTTGGAATTTTAGATCCCAAATCAGTGTATTTTGTTGACTCACGGGTATCTGGGGCAAAAAGTGGTACGGTCAATACCGTAGTGACCGTACAGTGTGCGACGCCCCTGACTGTTGGAATCCACCAGCTGTGTTTCCTTGAGGGGCGTATCCTTACCTGGGATGTGTTTCTCATTCCCGGCAGCAGAAAGAGCTCTACAATATGTATATAATTTAAGAATAGAATTTGATGTACAGGAGAGTGCCAATTATCCCCACCCCTCGGGACGCGGGCTGTCTCCAGGGGGTTCAGATGAGAAGAATGTTCGGATAAGAGAGCAGTCACACATCTATCTAAATCATGCATATTCCAGCATGTTTTCATCACTTTCGTTCTCTTCAGCAGTGAAACAGGAACTAGGTGCACTCATGCTCCTCTGAATTAATGACACTATTATTACACATTTTGACTAAAACCTGTTTTAATACATCTTGTGAATCGCTTCAATGGTGCCCCGAGCGACGAAAATCAACAACTTGAAACTCATCTTCTACCCCTCAATTAAATGCAAGCAATTATTTTGGATAATTAATCATTTGGATAGTTGACATTGGAGGATAATCAGCACATTGTGTGTGATGGGGGGGGGGGGGGAGGGAGGAAGAGGAGGAGGCTGCGAGAGGCCGTGGTGGACGTGTACTTGTGCAGAGCCTGGAAATAGCCTCACTTTAGATGTATGCACATTCAAACGGTGGATGCTTCCCGCCATCCTTTTCCCCCTCTTTTTCCTTTTCCCGCCATTCTTTACCCCCTCTTTTTCAATTTCCCGCTCTTCTTTTCCCCCTCTTTTTCCCCTTTTCTGCGAGAAGATTAGCCCCCTCCTTGTAAACGGGGACGAGTTCATTGGAGCACACGTGAAACACGGCGTGATTTAGCTTCTGGCGTTCACAACCCATCTACACGAGTCGGCTGCTTTTCAGTTTTAAAGAGTTTTCTGATAATTTTACTGGCAATGATTTTTGCGAACTTTTCCTTGACTGTCCCTGCGGGAATTTGCGGAAAAAACTCTCGAAAACTTGCGAAAGAAATTGCAGCAGAAAACAAAAAATGCGACGAAAAGTGCGGAATGATGCAGAACTTGCCAGGAATTCGCGGAATTATTTACAGAAAATTGCGGATTTGGGCCAAATCACGAAACTTGTTGCATTCGTATATCTACTCGGGAGTAGTCCGAGTTGTACTATGCAAATAACCAGGGAGTCGTTATTTTACGTCTCCCTGCAAATAACCTACAGGATCATGGAAAGCACTGCGTGAAAAGTGCATAAAAAGTGAGATATAGTGCAGAAAACAACAAAAAACGCGGGTTTGGGCGAAAATCGCGAAATTTGTTGCATCCGTGGAATCACGATTTCCTGGAGGGACAGCCTTGAGAACAGACACTAATAAAAGTGATGAATGGGTGCAGCAAAGGGTTGTGTTCACGAAGTCCATGCCAAAACATTCTCCGAAAGACTTTACAATGGAGCCGCGAATATTTGAAAAAATTTGTACGTTTCGGAGCAGAAGACAAAAAATAAGCGAAGCTGAAGGTTGTCTTGAACAAAGCCAATTTTTGGCACTTAAGTTACCCTCGATCCTGTTCTGTGTCATGCTGATAATGGATATGCCAAAATCAACGGGCCGATCCGACTGGTTGTTTGGTATGTTTCGCCACCATAAAATCAATCAATCAATATTTATTCCAACAAGAATGGGTGAGACATACTCGAATTTTGAGAAGAATCGCAAAGACAAAAAGAGGCGCGATTTACGGTTTTATTCTCTGTATCACTGTTGAAATCGCACGTACTTGGCTAAAACCCACTCGTTGCAGTCATGACGAGTCGATAAGGCTGTTGGAGTGCGCATCCAGGACGTGCTAGAGTTGATTGACACAGTCACTGTTGGTCAGTGTCGTGCATTTTTTCATATAAATTCATGGGATTTGTTTTGAGTTTAAACAGAGACACATTCACAATGCATGTGCGCTGACATTTACATGTACCTGCATATACAGCCAGTACACACGATTCACTGAGGGGACACAAAATCCACACCGGAGAGATAACATCACTTGCAGCATGGAATTTGTGTGATTGCTATGCCTCACAGAGAAAGGAACCAGCCACCAGAGACACCGAAGAGCAACGCCACACGACCGGAGAACAGCACCAGAATGAAATTGAGTAAAACCCACTGCATTCGGCGATCAGCCTACTTGGGGCGATGCTGAGAATGTTTGCCAGCAGGTTCTAGCTGCCCAGTGAAGACTCGACTGGTTGAATTGCTAGGTGATCATTGACAATGCTTTCGGATGCGCAATGGAACGAGTTTGGCTGTTGCGAGAGAAACAAACAGCAAATAAACTCACAATCCAGCAACAATGGTTTGCTAGACACAGCCAGACAACAAAGTCAGAGAATACTAAATTTTCGTATAAATTCCAAATATATTAGCAGGTGTGGAAAAGCGACCCTGCTAGGTTTTCAAACGCGCCGAAGCGTGCAACCGACTTGAAGATGAAGGCAGATAGACAGATGGTGGATGATAAATAATTAGGCGGTAGATTCCTTGATGTATGCAATCAGATCTGGGCAAAAGGAGAATACAAAGCACACACACGATGACCATAAGTTTGGGGGAGCTGATCAAAACACATCGTATCATCACTGCTACAATCCTGCAGTGTTATTAGAGAGGTTCCGGAGTACGATTTTTCGTGCCAAAATCCGTAGAGGTGCTACGTCGTTTTCGAGCAGTGAAATGTTCCGGAGTACGGAACTTATGCGTTTGCCGTCATTGCCTAGGTTACGATCGCAAACACGTCACACGTTCCCGCGCTATGCCTCTTTATTTTGAAGATTTGTACCGAAATCAAAACTTCCCGCGGAAAATCGATGTTTCTCGTACCAAATGTGTACGCAAAAATCTTTCTGCACCCGATGACGCAAAATCTCCATACGAAACCTGGTTCGTGTGAAAGCCAGTCCACACGGATTCTCCGTGCCAAAAAATCGTATTGAGCACGCCTCGAAAAAATCCGTAGAGCCCATACGGATTTTGGCATGGAAAATCGTACCCCGGAACCTCTCTACTATGGATGATGCACACACCAAACCAACACACAAGATGGCCGTGGGTCTTTTAAAATTGCACTCGAACAAAGTCACCAACAGTATCCAATAGAAGCTCTGGGCCAGGGAGGGTTGAAAACATAGGAGCCCAGATTTCACAATAGAGACCATAGTGGATATCGGCCGAGTTAGAGAGCCAAAGCAAACACCCAAGGAACGAGCATGAACAATTTACAAGCAACGTGTACAGTGGTCCCTTTATAACCCGGCACCATTTATGCTACGGAAATCGTGCTGGGTTAGGGAGGGCGCGGGATTAGAAAATCTGATTTACTGCTGCAAAGTGCATGAAGAGGACATTTTGGCTACTGAAAATCGTTCTGGACTAAAGAGGGATGACTTTAGCCCATCTCAACAAGCAGGCAGTGTTCTCCAATGCTGAATTACTGTTCCGCACCCCGAGGCATATGGCTGTCTGCCAAGTTGCACGTGTACATACGAGGGATCACAGGGTTCGTAGCACAACATATACACAAAATTTCAGGGGATTTCCAGGGGCATTTCAAGGGTATTCACAGATGTCATACAGTCGCTAGACACCACATATCCATAGCCAAGCAGAGGTTCACTGATTCAGAATGTCAATAATCGAAGTTTTGATCATCAATAAAATACTACAAGCAGTAGAGCCACCGTCACCATCGAGCTTCTCCATCGCTAACTTCTTAGCGAACTAGCCAGTCTTTGTACGGGTCCAAAGACAACCAGCGATCTTTGAAAACACACTTGCCTTTCGGCATGGAGAACAAGTACAACTCTGTAAAACGTCTTCGGCATTCGGAAAAAAAACTGAAGACACTTTGTCTTGTTGAAGGCCAAAACAAACAAATAAAACGGAAAAGCAGTTGCAGTGGCGGATTCCAGTTTCGCTACAGTCAGGAACCGTCGTACCGCAGTCGATAGTCGAGCGTACATGGCGATCAAGGCTCAAATGTAAAAAATACCGTAAAGATCTACGCGAGCTGCGCTGGCCGCTGAGGCCGTCGACTCACATGACCAGCACAGGTGATCGGACTGGCACTCGTAGATCTATGCATATCATCAAGAGTACATAACCCCCAGAGTGTGCAACGCCTGATCCAGCTCTGCATAGGGTCTTGGTCGAGCGGAATCAGATCTTTGCGTCATAATACCGTACACATCTGAGGGGAACCCGGGGAGTCGCGGGTACTCTTGGATCAAAAACAATGGTACCCTGCCTCGAGACCGGCCTTGCGCTGGTGTGGAGTGTACGCATGACATCAGAAGATCCGATTCCGCTCGACCAAGACCCTATGCAGAGCTGGATCGGCGTTGCACACTCTGGGGGGTTATGTACTCTTGATATCATGTAGATCTACAGTCAGTCGCTGAGTACGGAAGTCTACCAGGTCGCGTGATCTGGAAAACAAATTTCAGGGGATTCAAGGGACATTTTCTAATAAAATACAAAATTTGAGGGGATTTGAGGGAATTCCCGGGGGAAGAAAAACTTTCAGGGTTTTCAAGGGTGCTACGCACCCTGGATCATCAGACAGCGGGGCATTTTTCAACATTCAGACACAGCTAATTACACAGATCTCCACAGTCATCATCTCTGCAGTTCCAAACCAAGGACAAAAACTCCAACTGCCCATGTACACTTACCCTTGCGCTCGCTCTTCTTCTTGAGACCAGCGAACACCATCTTAGTTCCTGCATCATGGACACACAGGAGAAACAAAGGGTTGCTACAATGCAATTACACTCAAACGTCTCTTATCCGGACGCCACAGATACGGGCACCTTCAGATTGAGTTCCTATGGCAAAAATGCTTCTGGGGGTTTGAACTTTTATTTGTATGCGCAAGTGCTTACTTGTCACTGCCAAACTGTGTAATCCGCAACGCAAACTTTGCGCGCCGCGATCGCTTTACAGTATCCTGAGGTACGGGCAGTGCTCGGTACCAAGGTAGCCGGATAAGAGATGGTCGAGTGTAGTCACAAAGCACGTACAGGAAAGCTTCACTCTACAATACATTGGATAAATACTGGAATTTCAGAAATTTTCGGTGCTCAATATTTTCGGTATGAGGGCAACAGGCCAGGTTAGGTGAACAGAAATTTTAGGTACAGAGGACCAGTTCCCTATTGGATAACGTGTGTTAGTGTTTTTTCGGTGTGTTGAAATTTTAGGTATGAAACAGACGCACCGAACTTCATTGAGTATGTAAAGAGAGTACGTCAGTGCATTAAGGTAGCTCCAACCACTTTGGCCATGAAACAACTTTTACAGAAGTGCTGTTTTCTCTGTTCTGAGTTGTTCTCTAGCATGCATGGACTGCGGAAATGATATTCCTATGGGGGATACTTATTCATTTTGTTGTACTTATGGCCACTTGAAAGTACGAAAAATGCAATTTTCGTAACTTTGAGACCCAGCTGCACAGTGCAACAGGATACGCGATCATCACTTCAATGCGTACCTGGAATGTACTTCTTGGGGTTCTCGAGGTACACAAACAGTGTCTCGTCACTCCATGTGATACCTATACAAGACAAGCACACACATCAAAATGTACACAACGCACACACAGTGGTCAATGTATAACCCGTCACCAGTTGTGCTACGGAAATTCTGCTGCTGGGCCGCGAGGGCGCTGGATTAGAAATCCGATTTACTGCTGCAATGTGCATGAAAAAGACATTAATTTTTGGTTGCTCAAAATTATGCCGCTGGTTTAAACTGTAAACAGAGACAGCACTAGTGGTATAGACTTGCGTGTACAGTTGCACTCACTGACATCCGACCCAAAGTGCAAAAAGAGACCAGTTTTTTTTTAATTTTTTTACTTTGTTCACATAACCAGCTCGAAAAGAATACTGTAAGACATGTTATTATAACGAGTCGCAAATTTAACGATTGTCCAAAATTCATAGGTTAACGAGAAGATATGTTAACGATCTTGCAGTATTCTGCCATATCCACACACAGCATATATGAAGCAGTACGGCCTCAACGGATCTTATTATAACGAACAAATGTCATCCGTTAAAACGTTAGATTTGATTCCTCGTTATATATACATGTCTTACAGTAAGGAAAGACAGTAGTACAGAGACCAGTTCCGATTACATCACTGTGCTTGTACATGTGTACGTCCAGCAGCAGCATTCGTACCACTTCCAGGGCAAGGTCAAGGGCCATGCAAGTTGAACTAAGCACTCTTGGTCGGATTCACAGAGCACAACTGAACACACCAGCGCAAAATAAGTGATCTTCTGAAGGCATGCAGCTTCAGTGGACCGTTACTACAGTCAGACCTCGCTCAACCGCGCACATCCGTTTTCCACAAAAAAATATCCGGATAGGCGAGGGAACCGGATAATCAAACACACATACTGTATGTATGCACTAGATATGCTGTAAATCGGGAACCAACGATTTTCTTCGGGATGGCGAGGGATGCGGATAAAAGAGGATCGGAAAAGCGAGGTCTGATTGAACAATGCCATGCAATTGATGTTGACACCTTATTTTTGGCAGTTGATGATGTCTGTGAGTGGTACAAATCAGAGAGGGAGTGCCGTGTGGGAAAGCGATGTGTGCCTTGCAGTTCTTTGGGGCTTGATATCATGAGCGCCTAAACATGGGGGCTTCTTCAAGTTTGGTGACACTTTGGCCAAACGACAGTGAGAACACAAATGATACGACTCTCATCAACAGTCAATATGCATTTAGACCAAGTCACCCAGAATGGACCAGGAAAGCAATCCCAAATAATGACGGAAGACTGGAAAGGGTGTAATTCAAATATGCCCCGTCACCCTTGCTATGGACCTGGAACATATTTTGAAGATGGGGATGTGGTCAAAATGAGCACAACATGGTCCCCTCAATCCGCCACTGGTAAGCTTCCCAAAAAACTACTGAACTTCAATTTCAACATGATCCCACAATCCTCTACTAGGGTCTGTTCGATCACAATGTTACGGTTCATGGCTTGAGATCATCGCAAAGCTCTTACGAGCCCGCTTATCAAGGCAGCAGATAGGCCTATATCGTGCTTGTATGAATGCAGCACAGATCTCAGCTTGAATCTTGTTGCCTGGATGTATTATTGTATGCAGAACTACTGTGAAACAAGTTATTTTCGGTTGAATTTTAAATTCGGTGATTTCGGTAGAGAAACCAGGCACCTAAATTTAAATCACACATAAAAGGCACCAGAGTATGCACTGTACGTGCAGGTAACGCTAGTCACCTAATTCTACATTACCACCTAAAACCTGTCAGGTGCACGACACCGAAATTTCAATGCACCTAACATTACAATCATGTTTTACAGTATCAGGCATCAAGTGCCAGGGGAAATTTGAAGCTAACACCGGATAGTTCTTCATGGACAGTGCGACTAGCTATCGCTTCCACTGAGGTCATTGAGGTCGAACGAAACTCGAGGATACGGGCACGGGGTGAGCATGAGATGCGTACATGTGTTGTCGTCCTGAAATGTTTTGGTTTTCAGTTTGCTTCATCACGTCATACCAACTGGCACCCGTGCGATGGCAGTGGGAAGCTCGCAGGAAATGCTACCAATCATCAGAACACACAGCGTGGCCCGGGGACAGATGATACTTGTGCACGAGAAAGCTCAAATTAATTTACAACCAGCTCACCATCACATTGCAATGAACCCAAAGCACGTGAAAGAAACTTCGCACAAAGAGATACGGAGAGAAAATAAATCACCAAGGCGGGACATGCCGCAGTGCGTAGATGGCTACAACGCTTACCCTTGGACTGGTTGGCCTGAGTGTATGAGTAACCCTTCGCCTGGCCAGTCTTGCGGCCCATAATGCCGTGCAGGTTGGGGCCAGTCTTGTGTTTGCCGCCCTGAGAGCAACGCATCAAGAACGAAACACACTCAGCTTGTCAAGATCTGAAAGGCCCGCGACGGACGAGCAAGGCAACGAGACACGGATCACTCACGGCCTCAACGGTGTGGCACTGGGCGCATCTCTGCTTGAAGAGAGTGGCTCCTTTCGTGGCGTCACCCATTGTGAAAATTGGGGAGGAAGGAAAAGCCAACCGTCTCAGTCAAACAAGACTAGATTCACAAAGGTACCAGGTTTTCGTTGCACCATATAAAAGGCTGGATTCTTGCCAAACCGCAATGATGGCGGGGACGGCGAAAAACACAAGCGTTGCGCAAGAACGAGCTCACATGGGCACGCATCCCCGGCCCCGATCCGAGTTAGTTTCCCAACCGCAAATCACCCGCTAGTCCGCTATCGCGTCCAATATACCCAGTCCGTGCGCCAGACCCTGTTTTGGCCCGATTTTTATTTTCTGCGCGGGAACCATACATGCAGACGTTATGCAGGGAAAGATGACGACGCCGGTCAGTAAATTGTTGGTCGATTTGTTGCCTACCTCGAGGCCAGTCGGTGAAATGAGGGCTTCCTTCTTCAAGAAATATGTTGCCAGTCGTTAGTCGGATGCCACTCGTCTTCTAAACATCGTACTTGATGCAACCAGCGCAGTTGGATGGACGGGAGGCGAGGAATTTATCGTTTTCGATTTTCACCCTATTCTGGGTTGCCATTACATTGCAGCTGGCAGCACCACGAGGGAATTTTTTGCACAAGGGAGACTAGGTGAATTCAACTCCTCAGAGATATCGCCATGACAGGGTAAGGTTATTTTAGCCCTGAAATTGTGTACAAACCAACGGCACGAAATTATGGAAATATTTATTTTTTCGCAATAATTGCATGTTGGTTGAAAAAATGTAGCCATCTTTGTATTGTGGCATCCTGGCGGTGTATTTCGTAACTATACTGCATGACAATATTATTTATGAGAAATGGCAGCGATTGCAGCGATTGTGAACAATGTACAATAAACAGCATTGGCAAAATTGATGCAGAGCTGTATGGTACTTTAGTACAATTTGCCTGTATATTGGTATTTTACACACAATGCATGAAACAGAAGAGCAAAATTATTATTGACTTATCAATTTATAGTTAGGACATGAATATGAAACCCATGACCAATGCCAATGACCCAGGGTCTGTGCACCTGCATTCAAATATATAAAAAATCCCTTGTGGCATAATCATGTACTCTGTGCATACACATGCGTGGGGGGCGATACTTGCTGCTTTACATGGTGGAAATTGTGGTGCTATGCTGCTTGGTATGTGTGTGCGTGCGTGTGTGTGTCCGTGTGCGTGTGTCACTGTGTGCGTGTGTCACTGTGTGTGTGTGTGTGTGTGTGTGTGTGTGTGTGTGTGTGTGTGTGTGTGTGTGTGTGTGTGTGTGTGTGTGTGTGTGTGTGTGTGTGCGTCTATGTGTGCACACTTCACTTTCCGGCTGTGTATTGATGCCTATGTAGATATCACCATGATCAACAGGGTCAAACGCTTCCAGCGGACAACAGTGGATCACCTCATTTCTCCCACTGGAGTGGTCCTAGCTTGAAGTGATGTATGACTATCAATTCTATTGACTAGCCTTGAGGCATGTACCAAACGTCAGCATGTCTGTGATTATGTGTGATATCAATACATCACACTTACATTTGAAAGCTATATGCTGGAAGGCAGTCAAGTGGGCTTTTCGTCAAACACAACCCTACCAATGAAATGAAGGCAACGGGCAGAGACCACTAATGGTAGGGCCACACCAGGTGGCTGTGCCAGTGGGGAAGACCCAGCTCAACAAGGTGTTATTTCAAGTTTGATCGGAACAGCACCCTGGTCCAAATCCTCAATATCAGTGAATCTTACTGGTCCATGTGGCTGCTGCCTTGACTCGTGATGCCTACGATTGGATGCAAGCTGCACGAAGTATGTTGCAAAGAAGAGTACAATGGATCTTGAACTTAGCACGAGAGGCGTGCACTTCGTTGATAACAGCAGAACCTTTGCATGACTATCATAACACTCTCCTTATTGCAATATTTAGCCAATGGCAATGCTCCATTTGTTGTAGCAGCTACCACACAACTACAAGTATGCATTCATTACCTGGCTGTCTTGTATAAACTTGTGAATGCAATCACGTGATGCTTTGTGCACATACGCTCCCATACTTTAGCGGATGTGCGCGCGTGTGTGTGTGTATGTGTGTGCATGTTTATGGGTGTGTATGTTCGTGCACGTACGTACGTGTACATGTCTGTGCGTTTACATGTACATGCAGACGTGTGTGGGTCTGTTGAAAAAAGCGCATGAAAACGTGATGTATGTACGGGTGTATGGTAAACGTATTCTTTGCTCCATGCGTCCGCCGTGAATGAAGGTACGAGACTTTATGTGTCATAGCTTGTGGCGGTTGTTCTGTACATAGTAGCACCATATCCAGGCCATCCGCAGATGCCATTTTTTCACTTCAATTCTGCATTGGCTCGGGTGCTGTGTTTGTAGTGTCATCCTCTCTGCATGTATTATTTATATTTCTTTCCCACCTCAGTACTGTATTTGGCTTGATATTGTTGCTGTTGTACATACAAGTATAGGCACATGCATTGATCTACGAGGGTTTGTGTTTGGAGCTCCAGCAACCTGTTGAGGTTCGTGTTGTTTATAAATTCGTGGTCTACGGATACAATGGTCTGGCTGGTACATCGCAGAATACTAGGACCCCTTGAACGATTCTGTCGGTCGTTCCTAAGTTCACCAATTGAAGACATGTGTGTGTCAAAATGTGTCAAAAATACAGTGTTGACAAAACGGTTGGTATCACCGCTGTCGGATATTTTGCACAAGCCAAAATTGGAGGATGCACTGTTGGCTAATATCTCTTTCTAAATAAATATGCAGGAAATAGCGAAACCCTTGTACAAACCAACGGCACGAAATTATAGCATGTTCAACCAAAATATCAGCGACATAACGAAAACGCAAGCGACGAGCGAGAACTCAACTTCTCGTTATTTGTTATCGCCACGGACAAAATTTAGGGCAGAGAACAACTATTAGGTTGGATTTCGACAACGATCTGAGACAAAGAACTCACGGGGGACGTAAACCAAAGGACGACGAAGGAGACGCCATTGAGTATTCGTCTCGCGATATCTTGAGAATACTGCGAAATTTGGCAAATCTGGAAAATAAAAGTGCAACTTTTACGACTTTTTCTGAACTGGCGCACGGACTGTACCGGTGCCGGTACCGCGTACCGGCGGTGATTAGGGCCCGGTACGCGGTGTGCCCGAAACTTTGCCGAAAATGCTTTTGGGAAATTCTCGTAAACCTTGCCGAAAATTCTCCCAAACCTTGCCGAAAATGCTCGGAAAATGCTCACTTTTTGTAATCCTCAGCACACGCGCGAGTACACCGTCAAAAGACTCAAAACCAGGGAGTCAGAAAATACCGGTACAGTGGTCCCTCTATAATCCGGCACCATTTGTGCCACGAAAATCTGCTGGATTAGTTGGCATGTAGTAGTTGTGGTGTTGCTCGACACATCCACTGACACCACAACTACTACATGCCAACGAATTCAACTATTCCAACACAACGTATCTGAGGTCCTGGACAAGCACTGTCCAATGACAACCGTCAAACTACGTGGCAAATACAAACCTGCCCCTTGGGTAGATGCCGCGGACGAGCTCCGGAAATTGTTGTTCAGGAAGAAGCGTTCGCACAGAAAATGAGAAAGAACCCAGCTGACCCGCAACTAGTCCAGAACTTCCGGACACTGCGGCGGCAATGCAAACTTCTCACGCGTCGCAAGCAAGCCACATTCTTTCAGAACGAATTTATTTACAATAGGAAGAACCCCAGAGGCCAATGGAATGTTCTAAACACTCTGCTTGGTCGAATCAAGATCCACCGTGCACCAGGTGCAGAGGTCAAAGCCATCACAGCTACATTCTCCGAAATAGTATCACCGGGTTCGCCAACTACACCAACCGCTACAACGCACACTACACTGCCACTAGGTCCGATGCCTGAACACAACTTTTGCACTTTCGACCGCATCCTGACAAGCCTCGTAGAATTCTACCTAAAGCGGTTGGACTGCCGTAAAACGTGCGGCCCCGACAACGTACCCGCAGCAATCTACAAGTCTGCAGCTGACGGGATTGCCCCTGTTCTCGCTCCGCTATTTTCAGACTCACTACAATCTGGAACTTTCCCAACTCCGTGCAAACAGGCTAACGTTCGGCCAATACATAAGCGAGGTGATCACAGCGATCCTACTAATTACAGGCCAATATCGCTCCTTCCGCAAATGTCAAAGCTGTTAGAACGCTGCGCCCTTGACCAGCTAATGGAATTCGTGCGTGACGCTCCACAAGCAAACCAAGCACTGCCGCCTGAACAGTTCGCCTACAGAAGACAACACTCCTGCGATGACTTGCTAGCCTTGGTGGCGAATGACTGGCAGCAAAGTCTGGATGCCGGTAAATTTGTGGTGGCAGCGTTTCTTGATATGTCGAAAGCATTTGACACGGTCAATCACAACATGCTCCTGCAGGAGCTTTTCGAGATCGGCGTCGGAGATAGCGCCCTGCAATGGTTTGCGAGCTACCTACGAGGCAGGCGGCAGCGAGTGGTAACACGTACGTCCAGAGGTGAATTGTACGAAGCTCACAGGGGAGTTCCTCAGGGATCCACCCTCGGACCTGTGCTCTTTAACCTATCTGTACGCAAATTGCCCTCGGCAGCATCTTCCAGCATGGTGCGCCAGTACGCTGACGATGTCGCCCTGTACCTAGCAGGCCGCAACCTACAACAAACTACCGAAGAACTGGCCCGAGATGTGTGTCGTATCAGGGACTTCCTCAGTGAACGAGGACTAATCCTGAATGCCAGCAAGACCCAGTTCATTGTGTTCCACTCCAAATCGAAAAAAGTATGCTCCTCCCTCCGACTAACCATTGACAATGTCTCAATTCCACCAGCGACCACCGTCAAGTACCTTGGTATGACCTTTGACCAGCACCTGACATTCGCTGACCACATCAGTGCCCTTGAGCGAAAGGTAGGCGACAAGCTAGCTGTGTTTCGTAGAATCCGTGACCGTCTAACAATTGATGCAAAGAGAACCTTCTACTGCTCGTTCATACAGGCTCAACTGGAGTACGGTTCCAATGCTTTTTATCACAGTCTGCAGGC